GTCTTTGTACTTCGTGATTTTTCACCAGTGTTTTCTCTTCTCTTCTGCTGTCTCTAGATACTGCCATGTCTACTATGCAGACTTTTTTTTCTCTTTCTTATGAACAATGGTTAAGTCTGGGTGTTGCATAACAAGTGTGTGTTTGCATTATAATGTCTTAGAGCACTTTAGCTTCTCCTTTTTTCTATTGTTTTTCCCGTTTTGTGGACCCAATTGCTTGCAGACAAATGGTATTTCTTGCAGATCTTCTAATGCACCATTTTTGCTACTTTGAAATGCCACTGTTTGTAATCAGTCTGTGTGATTTTCTTGCAGCAGCTACTTTAGTGTTTTCTATTCTATTTCTTCTATTTCTATTCTTCATATGCTATTGTTGTTTTTTGTAGGCCAGTTTTGTCTCTCCTGTACACAGTTTATAGTATATTAGCTTCAATGTATCTTCTTCACTGTCCTTCATATATTCTTCCAATGTCCTTTTTTCTTCTTCTTCAGTTCTCTGGTGTATTTGCAACATTCCATGCCGACTTATCTTTCTGGCAAGAAGCAGAGTCTGCCAACAATGCTACATAGATGATGTTATTATTATTTTAAATATAGTCTAATTGTTCTTGATTTCCACCAGACTTAAGTAGTGTTAGCCTGTCAAGACCACACATTGTGTGTCACTTGGGCGGTCATATATTTTGGTTTGTTTTTTTTGAAATGAAATAAATCTATAGGATATGTGTTTCTAAAATATTCTTGCTACTCAGTGTCATCATCTCATTCATGGGAAATGTTCTTCCAAGGTATTCCTGTAAGATTCTATTGATGTTTAGATAAAGCTGCAGAGTAAAAAATATCACCCGGCTTTTAATTATTCATTGATTTTAATACTAACCCTCACCCTATCCTTAATACTTAATACTTGCACTGATTTATTTATTTTTAGCATTTTTTTGCTAAAATATTGCATTTTTCAGATGCTCATGAAAGAATGAAATATAAATCAATCAAGCAAATAAATATTTTGTAAGTTAACATTTTTATGTTTATGTGACATCAACTTTCCCAAATTAAGAAGCAATATTCTATGATTTATTATTGCAATATATATACCCCTTCACAGTGCTTTACAACCCTCTCTTAAGCTGTTTACAGAGTCAGTGTACTGCCCCCAACAATTTGGGTCCTTATTTTACTGACTTTGAGTCAACCTTTAGCCGGTGAGGATCGAACGCCTGGCAGTGTGTTTATATTTCAAAAGTCTCACCTAATTAAACCTATCAAATTCTCCATATTGTGTACAAGACTATTAAAATCTCACATCCAGTAACTTCAATGATTTATAATAATTTTTGCGCTTTGAGGCCAAATTCCAATAAAACCATCAGTTTTGCAGTTGCCTAAGACACAGTTTTATAGTTTGCAGGTAATTTACTTTCTAGGACGAGTTAGAGAATAGAACCATTTAAATCCAGTGTCAGAGTTCTACAGAAACAGTGAGCTAAAATGTCTTCTGAATTATTTGAAACTGTTGGGTGCCTCACTGAGCCTTCAGTTTATTTCCATTGGCTTTCCTGAATACATTATAGGAGCTGTCAACTATTTTATTATGGCTAAACATACATCAAGTGTGGTATGGGTTCCAATTGTTATTTTTTTCAGTGCTACATGCCCTCTGTCAAAACAAGTGATGCTATTATCGGGCTGTGCTTTCGCTGAAGTATTTTTCCTGTGTATTGATGTCTCTATACATCCCATCTAAGAACTTATTTCAGACATGGTCAGTTAAACACCGAAGTGCTTCATTAATACTGTAATCTGAGCAATCTTACAGCATGAATACACAATTATTATTGCAGATGTTTCTTTTCATATTTGGGTCCGCTGTGAAAATCTCCTCACTTTCAAATGGAGGGAGATCAAGTTGCCTCTAAACTGGCAAGAGTTTAATGCACAGCTTATCCAATTAAAAAAAGAATGCCTTCAGCAACCAAAGCAAACCATATCACATGACTTGAGATTATCTTTCAAAATAAAATTGAAGAAGAATTGTACTTATGCTTTTGTGTGAGAGAGTTTGGTGAAAGAGAGGGTACACACCAAGTAGAACAGGTAAGCAACATCATGAGGATAAACTAATCCAACTTAGTTTCAGAAGTACAGCTGAACATACATAAATTATTTCAAGTTTCTTTGGCTTTAGACTAACTGAAGCCTTTATTTAAATTTAGTGTTGGGTTTATCTTCCTGTTGTTACATGTAGTTGTCTCACTCTTTCTCATACATTAATGGAACCTGGGCTAAAAACTAGATACTGATAAAGCAATGCCTATAAGGACTATGCAAAGCTTTGAATAACTGCTTTCCTTCAACAACATTTCAAACGAAGCATCTCTTCAAAACTAATTTGTGGAAATCTTCTTTACAAAGTTACCATCTTTCCCTGAAAATAAGAGTCTTATTTTCTTTTGACCTCTGAAATAAGCATTTGGACTTATTTTCGGGGAGGTCTTGTTATTTTTGAGGTGCAGGAGGCGGCAATGGTGGTCACCTCATGGTGGCTGCTGTGTTGCAATATTTTCAAGGAGGGCTTATTTTCAGGGGAGGGCTTATTTTAGTGCATGCGCTCAAAAGCCCAATTGGGCTTATTATCTGGAGACGTCTTATTTTCAGGGAAACAGGGTATCTCTTTGATACCCTCAGGAAGCCTCTTTNTTCTAATTTCTATTAGACATGAAGCTAGGTGGAGAAGTTTGGACCAGTCACTTTTCTCTCACATTTAGAAAGACAGCAGTGGCAAACCACTTCCAAAATCCTTGCCAAGAAAATGCAATGATTTGTCCAGGCAGTCTCCAGGAGTCAAAAGGGGTATCTCTATGGAACTTGCCAAAATAATGTCATATCAGACCTATTATTGTATTCATGCAGAAAGTATATGTGAAGATAAATTGAGAAGTTACTTCATATTTTTATCTGTTTCATATGTAATGATTCTGTCCATTCCATAATAGGTTTTATTTGATGACATATGCAATATGCACAGCGGTTATTTTAGCAGCTGTTAAACAGTTCTCAAAAATGCTGATTGCTCAATTGTTTATTTTTTCTCCTCTTATATGTAACTGCATGCTCCACTTCCAGGAGCTCTTCTTTTTCAGTCTACTGTCATTTTTTTAAATTAATTGAATATGAAGCCTTTTTTTTTAAATAATAATGTATTGCTGCCTGACTTGTCAAATTGGTTACAATTAACTTTTTAAAAAGCCTTTTAAATGGAGATCTTCTTTATTCTACATTTTTCTTAAGATGATATTACAGGGCACTTTCTTTTAGATCAATAAGAGTCAATCATAATAGAAAGCCAGGTCAGGGTAGCAATTTTTTCAGCATCTGATCACTTACGACCAATTATATATTGTTGATGCATCTGAGGACAAATGATTGATTTCAGCAAGACAATTCAGAGATCAATCCTTTCTTTAAATGTACAGCAATATGTCCTTCCACCTATTGGTTTCATAGCCTCTCCTATCTCCTAAAATTCTAATGCTTTGGGCTCTTATTTGCTGTTGGTTGCCAGGCAGGAGAGCATCTGTTCAAAACCTTCATCTGAACAGTCGGTGACTTCACAGCATATGTTCTCTGCTTAGTTGGGGCTGTTTGGAGGGCATACCAAGAAGTCCTACCCATGATTACTGCTATTCTGGTAGAAAACATATTGGCAAGCTGAACAACTGTCAAAGTGTTTTGTGATTCTCTATCTCATTTCCTTGAAGCTGGTGGGTCCAGACATTTGTTGACAAGGGCTTTCAGAATTTAGCCTTTTTCTAGGAGTGGCTATGCCTTCTGCAATTCTCAGATTTATTTTCTATTCCTCTCATTCTACCTTGTTCTTCCTTACCAAATTATTTTGTTTGAAACATTTCCAGGAAGGTGAGATTCTCCCACCAAGTGGCATGTAATGTAGAAAACTCACCAAGATTAAACACACCAAGATTAATCCAACCTTTTTTTGATGAAGAGGTTTTGTTTCCAGTATGTTGAGAAATTTCCATCAGGAAAATAACACCATGTTATTAAAATATGAAATGTCTTATTCACCCGAATGTTTAGACAGACTGAAGAAATATATCTCTGAAGTGTCTGGTTAGAATGTGTTAAAATCTATAGAGTTAACTAGTGATGAAAACTCAGTTTGCAAGAGAAGCAATAGAAAGTGTTTCTTTTTTTAAAAAAAAAATTAATAAAATACTTTTCCATTTGGTGATGGAATGTAATTATAATGTTTTAAAACAATACAAAATTAAAAGCTAAAGCAAAGATTCTGAAGTTCTGGAGTCATGAATTTATTGTGAAGATATGTGCGTGAAATGGATCCTGTCCCTGACATAAAAAGCTGGGGATAGAAACCCTGAAATGCTTGCATTTTGGATAAATGTAAGAGATTAGTTTGCCTAATTTGAACTGTTTCTACCATGATATACATTCATTTACTTGAAAAGGTTAGTGAAAGATGTCTGAATAATTATATGGGACCATTAAAACAATCTGCAAGATATTGCAAATAAGAAAGGGCAAGGGGGTGCTGTAGCATTCCTGAATTGCCTATATTATTAAGCTAATACACTCACTACATAGTTGAACCGAATTCCTGGCACACATTTTGCAGATGAAAGCAGGGGCAGGCATGAAAGCTGTCTATTTATATATACAAAGAGTTTGCAAATTCCATTCCCTCCATTGTTTTCACACTATTTCATGATTGTTGCCTTAGCCCTTGGGGCGCTTCCAGAATAGCAATCTTTCCATTGCCAAGCTTTTTAAATACAGACTGGAAATGGAGCATATTTCTTCTGACTAAAAGTTGCCAGGATCCTACCCAGAGCAAAGGGTTAGCATAAGGCAGGGGTGTCAAACTGGATTTCTTTGAGGGCCACATCAGCATTGTAGTTCCCTTCCGGGGGCTGGTGGGAGGGGGGAGAGATTGGATGGATGCCTCCTGGAGCACNCACACTGTGATAGACCATGAAACCTATACAATCCACTTATCAACTGGGAATTACAGATTTAGAAACAGAAAACTGATGGGTTAGGAGAGCATGCACGGAATTGCCAAATTATCAAATGTTTTTGAGTGCCACTGCCTCTGGTAATAACAGGGGCGTTGCATCTTAATTTGTGATAATTTAGCAGCAGTTACTTTGATCGCACATTACCTTCAAATGCTTGTGCAGCATCAACTAAATGACACCAGTCTAATCCTGTTGCTGTATCTGGAAGGGGCATTAAGCCAGGATCATTGAATCTTGATTTGTCAGATAAAGATCCATCTGAGAACCACAGTTCATCTACATTAAAAGGAAAAGTGGGCTTTAAGATAATACGTTAGAAAAGAAAACAAAAACATTGAAATATATGAACATCGGGCAATTGCTACAAAAGGGGCCCATTAAGTGGTTGGATGGCTTTTTTGTAGAATTCAAACAGCTGTTTGTTTTTCTGGAAGAATAGGATGAAGAAGCAATGTAAGTATAGTTTTCAAGATATATGAATAATCTCACTTTATTCTTAATTGGCCAGACTTAGTACAGAAAAAAGGCTTTATTAGAATCAGAATGTATACCAGAGTTCACTTGTAATTGGATGTATTCTCCTGTAGTTCATTGCAAGTTTACGCAATTATATTTAGTACATAGATGTTTTTGACCTGGTTGACCTGGCAATTGTTATCTGCACCTGAATTTGTCAGAGATATTCAATGTTCCTGGAAAAAGTAAATATGACAGTTCATATAATGAATGCCACATATTTATCACCTAATCCACTACTGTTTGCCTAATCTTTTCATTTCATTCTCCTGTACATTTTCAATTGACTGAAGAAAGCCATCTAATTTTCATATCCTAAATAATAATCTTTCAAATAATACCTACAGACCACAAGTGTTTCTTCAGATTTGTTCAAATTTTGAACAATTCATTTTATTCCTAGCTCCTGTTAACAAACAGTGAATGCAATTTAGATTGAGAAGTGGTAAAAATGCTTCTCATACCATCAGAATACACTCATGGAGTTTGTACTACTAGTAGATGAAACCTGTTCCTAAAACTATGAACGTGTACAAACAATTTATGTCATTTACAATAATCTAAAGCTTGGGTGCACATACTATTTTGAATTGAGGGCCAATGCATAAAAAAAGAACTTAATTGAAAAAGTTTAATTGATTGACCCAATTTGGTGTAGTGGTTAAGGCACCAGGCAAAAAAATGGGAGACAATGAATTTTAGATCCTCCCTTAGGCATGAAGCCAACTGGACAACTTGAGCCACCCCTGAGAAGGAGGCAATGACAAATTACTTTCAAAAATGTTGCCCAAAAAGGTGGAAAGATTCTACCGGAGTCAATGACTCAAAAACACACACATATACAAAAAGTTTAAGTTAAAATTAATTAAAATGCAGTTCGTGTGATTGAAGAAGCAATTTATAGTATTTTATATACAAAGAAGCATAGTTAAAAATAATAAATTAGCAACTATCTAGACTAGGGGAATCTAGAGACTGTACCCAAGGTTGGTGAATCTCTACTGTAGTCTAAAGAATATTATAAAGTAGTTCAGTAGAGGAGTTTCATATCCTTTGTAGCTACAGTTCACAGATTTTAACATTTATTTTCCATCTTTATTATTTTTAGGAATAACTCAAGATGGTGAACATACCTAATAATCCTTTCTTTTCCCCCCATAACAACAATGTTGTGAAGTGAATTGGGCTGAGAGAAGTGATTAGCCCAAGGTCACCCAGCTCTCTCTCATGTGTAAAGCAGGACTAGAACTTACAATCTCCAGGTTTCTAGTCTGATGTCTTCAACTGAAACTCTGGACAGCTACTTCAAATTAATGCAAAAGAATTAAGGGGGAAGAAAATATGAAGATGACAGGCATGACCCTGTAATCGAAAGGGCAAAAGCTTGATTGCGCAATTCATGCCTGCCATCTTGACTCTTCACCACCCCACCTCCAGACAATCCTGGCTAGATGAATCAACTGCTCCCATCAATGTAAAGCATTTTTTTAATGTTTCATTCAGAGGATATATTGCTAACTGCAAATCGAATATAAAATCAGCAGACGCATCACACATATGAACACATAGAACTTACGTCGCAGATTTCCACTACCATTGTTTAAACATGTTCTAGAAGGTAAGGTGCTGTGGTAAGGTGGCGTAGTGCTAAACAAAATATCGTTTGGCAACGCTTGGTCTAGCATTGAACTCCGTGAACTGGCGTAGGAAGATCCTCTTCGATTGCTACATATGCTCTCATCAGAAAGTGTACGGTACAGTATCCTCCTTGGAGATAGGTTGCCATAGAATGAAAACTAAACATTTTAGGAGAATAAATTAGTAGACAGACTTGAACAATTATCATGAAGATGATGAGATTTTTAGTTTACACAAAAATAAATCTTATTCTAGAGATAGCCTGCTCAATACTGCTTCACTAGCATCAGAAACTAGAACAAAGGTCTTGTAATTTTCTCCTCATATACAAGTTTGTTCCATCATGAATTACTGGAAAGTAGAAAATTAGCTCCAAAAGGTTGAATACAACATGCAGCCACTGCTAAATAAAGTGAGGCAGTGGTTAGAGTGCAGTACTGCAGGCTATTTCTGCTGACTGCTGGTTCAGCAGTTCAGCGGTTCAAATCTCACCGGCTCAAGGTTGACTCAACCTTCCATCCTTCCGAGGTGGGTAAAATGAGGACCCAGATTGTTGGGGGCAATATGCTGACTCTGTAAACCGCTTAGAGAGGGCTGAAAGCACTGTAAAGCAGTATATAAGTCTAATTGCTATTGCTATTATGTTTTCATGAAATGAATAAAACTAAGTTTTAATACTGAATCAATATAATTAATTCTACAATGAAATGCAGTCTAACCCTAAAATAATACAGAATAAAGCAAATATATCTCTATTTTCTGAATAGACACAGACACACACAGACACGTATACATCCCTTCTGGAAAATAGAAGAATATTTACCATTATTCTATGTATTTATGTAATACTTCTCTTTATAAAACAATCATTAAGCTAAGTTGCAAAAACATTTCAGAGTGAAACTCTGTAAAGTTAATGAACTGAACAATAAATGAATAGGAGATGGAGCTCCTGTCTGAGGAAAGTCAATATGAGAAAGTCAATATTTTAAAGAGTCTATAAAATATATGACCCTAACATGTTGCAAAGTGGAAGCTATTATCTAGGGTAGATGCCACTGCTGAGAAGGTCTATCTCCACATCACATCAAGTGTCAATCTATAAGCCTTAGCACAGAGAAGCAGGACTTTCCCTGGGGATTTCAGATGTTTGGGAAGCTAACATAATTAGATTTATTCTTTAAGGTTAGTCTTCCCTCTATCCTGGTAAGTGAAAGACACTATATTGTTGAATATAAATTCCTTTTTGCCACCTATTGGTATACACTGTTTCACATTCACAACATAAAATCTGAATGCTAAGAGGGACCAGTTCTCGAGCATGGGTAAACTAAAGTGCACAAGTCTCTAAGAAGTTTATTCCCATTTCACAAATCTAAATAAACTCTGGGAGGAGAAAATGTTCTTAGTAATCTAGAATGCATGACTTTTTGGAATGCAAGCTATGATTATTATTTTTTTACTATAATGTAAAGCAAAGCTGATTTTAAGTACAGCTTTGCAAATGTGATACAAATGTTGCATTTTTCTAATTTACCATACAAATATGTGCTTTTAAATAAACAAGCAATAATACATATAATGCATTTCTTATTTAGCTAATTATGCATAGCTTTGAAGATAATGTAACTGGGGACAAGTTTTAAAAGCACATATGAACAAACTTTCTGGAGAATGCAGAGCTTGAATGCTTTGAGAAGGGATTCATAGACTAGGTTTTGCAAAATATTTCTTCTAAATGCATTGTACAATCCTACTTCTCACAATTATTCTCTCTTCCCTTCTCATTGCTAACATTTTAAAACCCTTAGCAATATCAGTGGATTTAGGGCATAATAGCCTCTAAGAAGTAAAGGTAAAGGTTCCCCTCGCACATATGTGCTGGTTGTTCCTGACTCTAGGGGACAGTGCTCATCTCCGTTTCTAAGCCAAAGAGCCAGCACTGTCCGGAGACATTCTCCGTGGTCATGTGGCTGGCATGACTAAATCGCGAAGGCACACAGAATGCTGTTACCTTCCCACCAAAGTTGGTTCCTATTTTTCTACTTGTATTTTTACATGCTTTTGAACTGCTAGGTTGGCAGAAGCTGGGACAAGTAATGGGAGCTCACTCCGTTACGCGGCACTAGGGATTCGAACTGCTGACCTTTCTGATCGACAAGCTCTGCATATTAGCCACTGAGCCACCATGTCCCTTAGCTCTAAGAAGCAAATATATATATAAATATATATATTTTAAAATAGCTAACCTTTCTTCTTCCATCCTCCGCAGAGATGTTATTCTGCATCATCAACTTCAGAAATTCTTCTTTTGAGAGAGCTTGCTGGCCTTCAGAAACTATACTCCTGACAGAAGCTTGAAGCTGACTTGAAGAAAGGCCATCAACATAATTATACATCCCAGAGAGACAAGTATCTTTAGTTAACTAATAATGTAATAAATATCTTCATAATTATTCTTCATGTCACACATACATACATACAAACACATACATAATGTGTGTGTGCTTAATTCTAGTCTAGTGCTAGTACATTCAAAAAAATTAGTATGTAAAACATTTAAACTAAGCACAGAAAACTAAAATGAATAATGGACAATCATGATCAAAATATTAAAGAACAAGTTATCTGAAGAAACATTTCCAACCTCAGTGAAGAAATAATCCCTTGAAATACTGAAGCATAAATCTGTATCATGTAAATAGATATCTGCTGACAAATGATACTTATTCCTTCTCGCCCTTGGTGCCAAAGTGTTCCCCAACACCCAAAAGGACATTTGGGGGGCAAATTAGTATTAAAGAACAGACATAATCCTTCCCCCTTTTTGTGTTAATGGAAGCCGTTGCCAATGAATTTAGCTCTAGGGTTCCATCTGACATTTCAGAGAACACCTAAAAGATAAAACATGCTTTATTCTTTTCAATCTCAAATACACTTTAATTAAAATCCAAGATCAAAATAAAGAACAAAGCTCACTTATCCCCCAAGAATGTTATTTATGTTATTAGTTAAGTTCCAGGGATAATGTGTGAAATTATAATTGGTTCAATTACAAAGACATGGTTTTATTAATACCAGAAATCTGACAAAACTGTTTGGTGTAACAATTACACAAAGTATCTGATTTTCATAAAGACCCGGTTAAATCACATATTAAAATAATGCAGACTGAAAATTCCCAAATATTTCAATCATGATTATAGGATCCATTGCTATTCTAACAAATTCTAACGAAATCAGTGACTACATACTTATCAGAGGTAAACAGTCTACAATTATAAACATATATCTAAACATGATATTTAGGCCAAAGATGCTTTTTCACACGGCAACTGGTTTTTCTTTGAAGACGTTTCTTGGATGAGAAGCAAAAAGTCTTCAAAGAAAAACCAGAAAGTCCAGTTGCCTCTTGAAAAAAACACCTTTGGGACAACCATGACCTGCATGACTGAGAATCTCCATAGACATGACGTTTAACCATATCCCTCTGATGTAGGGTTGGCCCCCAACCTGTTGCTTTTCCAAAAGACCTTTAAAATGTTTGGGGTTTTTTTTAGTGGGTGGGATTGGGGAGCTTGAATGGAGATAAAATTGATCAAGTGGCTGATTTGATTGTGTTATTATTGCCGTGGGGGTGGGGGTGAAATAGGGATTTTCAAATTGGTTTTTATTATACAGCAGATTTTAAAAAATTTCTAAACTGCCTGGAGGTCATCTATGTATGAGTTGGATGACTACATAAATTTGTTAAATAAATTTTAAAAAAATCCTAATTGTACACAACTAATGTAAAATAAAAACAAGCTAGAAGTTATTGTGTTTTTATTGCCCTCTCCTTTGTTTGCTCTGTGCAGTAACCATGATTATAATGAGCTTTTCCAAGAAGAGTGCTGCATGCTAAAAATGAGGTATGCAAATATCAATAGAAGCAATTAGGTTTCTTGTATCATGGACTGTTAGAACAAGAAAGTTTGCATCTTGCATTGGGGATTGGGGGTTAAGAATGAAGGAAAATAAAAGGACCTCAGACAAAGAGTTTTGCACTGTAGAAAGTGGGAGTGTTTGTGAAATAGGTCTCCGAAATCCCTGGAAGACAAATCTGAAAAAGCAAAACTCATAAAACCTCTGCCTTTGTCTTTGCGATCTTGTTCAGAAATAAACAAAATGAGTCTAAACTCTAACGACAAATATTTGTTTAATAAGGCACAGTGGAGTCCTGGGGCTTCAAGACTGCAGCTAAAGGATATAATTTGTTCAAAAGGAACAAAAGAGAAGGTGGAAGAGCTGCACCTGGAATAAGAGCATCCATTCCTACTCAGAAATCCAAATGAATCAGCGGGCAATTTTGCGATGAGCATTTGGCTTAAAAGAAGTAGAAGATCAAATAAAAAGTCTTATTGATGAAGGTATCTAATCCTGTCCCCACAGCCAAGATGAGATATGTCCCAAAAGCAAGATCTTGTAGAAAGACATGAATCTTTCAAAAAGATATGAAGATATGAAGTGACTGGAGACTTTAACACATACTTATCTTCTGATTTGAATTCCTTAACATTCAACATTTATGCTTTTTCCTGATACAGCCAATTTATTGATATTTTTAAAAAGGGCAGAAGGCCATCAACATAAACATCACTTTTTATTTTCTTTGATCATACATTCATTCATTCTTGACAAGTTTGAGTAAACTAATACTAATAGTAGCATACTACTCACTACATTTTTATTAGCATTTGTATATCATCATTTCCTTATTTTGCAGTAAGCCAAAGTACAGCACACAAAGTATTAATCTACTTAATCTAATTGTTTCCTATGTATCCCTAACTTGCCATTTTTATCCCATCTTTCCCAGCAAACACAATTTCCATTAACTTCAATAGATTCATTTTCAGTTACACGTTCCTTCTTTCACACAGTTAATCTAACATTCCCTGCAAATAATTCAGGTTCTCAGCCAGGAACACCATATCCTCTGCATACTAAAAATAAAGATACATTCATATTCCCAACAATTACACCTCTAACATCACCACAAGCATTTTTTATATGTTTATCCATATGGAAATTTTTAAAAACCAAGGAGATAACAAACATTTGTGACTATACTCCTACCAATATGAAGCATCTGCTAAGGATTCTATTTTTTTTAAAATTATATATCACTCATCCCATTCAGCAAGTAACATTAAACTCTGTATTTGTATACAATGTTCTATAATGTAGGACTATTTACTTAATCATACACATATATCAATAAATGTATGTCTCACATTAATATATTTCTCAATACCTGCCAAAACTACAGCCTATACATCCTCTGCCTGTAAAGGTATATATTTCCTAAATATTAGTCACTGTTCTCTCCTGATCAGAATTCTGCCAAAAAGAATGTGAAACAAATTACTCAGAAAGTCCATTAGTAAAGTTTGTATTTTGAAACTATAAGGACAATGCTATTTGTGATTACATTCCAGAGGTGTAATCAAAGCCATTTTAATTCAAGTATGATCACATCATTTTATGCAAGTTAGGACTCTAACATTATCTTACAAGCAAACTATACTTTAACCTTCACTTAGTAAAGAGGACAAGAAACAAAAGACAGAGCTAATCAGCACCTATTTTGGTGTAGAGCAACAAAACTGTTTTCTATGAGGAGGACAAGGAAGCAGGATTGAAGCTTGAAGATAATAAAAACACTTTCAAAAATACTTCAAATTTGAAGAATTTCAAAGGTCTACATTTCATTTGAAAGAAGCATCAAGTGGGCTGCCACGAGGATCAGTTCTGGATCCTCTTCTTCAATGGTTTTGTCTTACTGATTTGAACTTGGAAGGGTAGTTAACTGAAAACAATAGGAGTCAGCAGTGTAATGTAAAAAAAATAAACCCAATTCAAGATTGCTTCAGCAGGAGTAATATTACCAGATAATGAATGCCCATCACAAACACTGGTTCTGATTAGCACACTTTAAGAAGAATCCAGCGAAATTACAATAGATTCAGAAAAGATCAAGCAAGAAGATCAGAGGAACAGTAACTAAGGCTTATAACCAGAGCTTGAAGAAGCTGGGCACAGTTAGCTTTGAGAAAATATAGTTGAGAGAGACATTTTCAAAAGATTTCACACAGAAGGGAAAGACACGATTAATGGAGTTGTTAATGTGTCGAAGTTCTAATAAAGCAGATACAAGTTGAATGCTAATTCTATGAAATATGAGTACTGTCAGATGAATTGTTCTCAGCACTGCATCTATTTTGTCAACATATTGTTCCACAGGTTTTCTTCAGTGTGTGTATGTGCATGTGTATGTTTGCAAGTATAAATGTAATGAACAGGAAGAATATGGAGTAATCTATATCTATCTATCTATTTATCTCTATGTGTATATATATAAATGGCTATGTGTGTGTGTATGTACGTATGTATGTTCCAGCATAACTCTGGAACACCTCGAGCAATTTTAATCAGTGGTGGGATTCAAAATTTTTTACTACCAGTTCTGTGAGTGTGCCTTGGTGGGCATGGCAGGTGAAGGATACTGTAAAAATCTCCATTTCCTCCCGATCAGCTGGGACTCGTGGGGCAGAGAAAAGATGNCTCCCACTTCTGTTCTCAACCTTTCTCCCTAAATGGATTATTAGCATTAAAAGAAAAATAACCAAGGTGAAACAAGAGCTATTTATGAGACCACCCACTATCAAAAGATCTGAGCAGGAAAAAAAACAGCCCTGTTATTAAAACAACAGATCCACCGCAAATTAAATAATTATTAAACTACTATTTAAAACCTTACGAATTCAGACTTGCATTGCATAACTAAGCACTGTCAACAGCCATTTGAGAAAGGCATGTTCCGAAGTCTTCTTAAAGGCCAATATGGAAGGAATTCCTTGTATTCTGCCGGAAAGGGAATTCCACTCAGTGCCTCACTGACAGTCTGTTGCAAATGGCGTCCAGATGAACTGGCTGCTATTGGATTTGGACATTCCCCAAAAATCTACATCATAGAATCATGCAGGAAGAAGCCTTCTTTGTACATACTTTACATACCCATGAGCATCAATGAAGTCTTTTCCATTTGTTGGACTTGAGCCCAAGGCTTGGTTATTCTCCAAAGCCTGCATGTGCTGCATGTCATTCAGGGTACAAAAAGATGCCACTCTTTGATCTAGAAAGGCAAATACATAAGCAAATAACTAAAAAAAAGGTAGCCTAGAAATACTTTCAGAATACAAAACTGATCAAGAGCTGTTGTTATCTGAATCCAGATATAGCAAAAAAATAAATAAATGCTTGCAACCATTTCTTAAATCAGCATTCCCCATCACTTGTATTTCCAGACATATACCAAAGCATGCTCATTAATTACAGCTTGAGAGTTGCTGTAACTGACACTTATTTTCACTATTTATTATTCATCGCATTTCCCCAAAACTCATAGAAATTCTAAAACCAAAATACTTTAAGGCAAAGCAGATATTTCATAAGAAAAAAAGCTTTGTATTTCATTTAAAAATATGAAATCCGATCTACTATTTTACTTGAATAAAGGAACTAATTACCTACATACTTGAACTCCAATGAGCTAAAATTTTCATTATGATCTTATCGCAGGCAGATCAATTTTAGTCATAAAAAGAAAGCTGCTTACACCAATGATTTTTAAATTACTTCCTTTCCAAGGACAATATACATGCTTTACTCTATGGGAAATAAGCTTCCCCACTGAAAGGCATGCAGTGTGGCAGCCAAAATTATACCCAGTACTAAAAGAAAGAAAAAAAGTATGGCACGCACACATTTGTTATAGAACAAGAAAGAACAGAACTTTGAGCTTTTTCCATGCAACGTTTGTATTCGGTAGAAGCAAAGATCATTTGTTTGTAGACTGAATTCATTCTGTCTCTAGGTCTTGGCCCTGACCACAGCATGCCTTCCTCTCTTCTTGCAAAGACGCAAACCTTGTATATAATCATGCAACCGTGCAAACATATATAAAAGCATATACTTTTTTTAAAAAAAATAACATAATATCCAACAGTCTACCCAGATCATCACCTAGAAACGAAGTGTGATGACAGACTGGCCCAAGTTCTTCGTCAGAGTCATAATCTGAAATAAGATTTAGAATTTTCCTATGAACAAACAGAGTCCACTGAACTAGCTTTGGAATATGGCACTTGCTATCCTTATGAGAAACAACTCAATCTTGTGGAATCATCTTTTTCATTTTAAATGATAATGAAAGATGAACCTCTCTGTGCATATGCACACACAGATATCCAGTATACATACTGAATCTATTTATAACCATAACATGTACCACTCAGGAATTTGCAAATTTCAGGCGAGGCTTGGTAGAGGCTGCATTATCTTACCATGAAAAGCCAGCAAGAAACCCATTGCATAAACATTCTTCTATTCATACAACTGTGAATGTAATCCATCATGTTCAGTCAAGACAATTCATTGAAACTACTTCAGGCATCTGGAAGAGTACAGATGCTGTCCTGAATGGAGTTGGCAACATTTCAAGACACAACGTAAGATTTTGAGATGGGTTCAGGCAGGGGCAAGATTAAAAACAACCTCTTTATAGTATGACTATACTTTATTTTTATTTTTTTTAGGGAAGAGGGTGTTTTAAGCTTTTTTTTCTTTTTTTTTCTTTTGGTCACCTTACAAAGTTTAATGAATGATGCATTAGAAGAAAAAGTAGGAGAGCTGTTTTATTTTGTAGTAGCAAAATGTCAGGAGCCTTGGCATTTTCTAGTTAAAGANGGCTTATATTCGGGTCGGCCTATACTCGAGTATATACGGTACCTAAAAGAAGAAGCCAAAGGCTCTACTCATACAGAACCCTTATCTACTTTTAATTCTTAGGGAATCAACATTATGCTATTTGTCTTTTCTTTTTTCTTTTTCTTTTTCTCCATGACCTCCTCCCTTCTCAAATTTCAATTTATATAAATAAAAAGATTCTTACTCTTGGCATTCAGAAATTTCAGATTCCTCGGGTGTGGGGCTATCTTCTGACTTTTTCCAGCCAATAACGTATTTGCTTATTGCTCCTTGTCGAGGGTAACATTTTGCCATGGATCCAGAGATTGGTTGAGCACAATTTTGTGAGACTATATATACTTTGGAGGTATCTAATGATCCAGTGCTTTTAGGACCATGTGTTGAAGGACTTCCAGAATGATGCGACCCGCTAGAAAAGGGGGGAAATACGCACAATGAAATATTTAATGTAGTATTACTGGAGGAAATCTGAAACAGGAAAAACATTGGCTGTTATTTATCTTAAAAGGACACACACACACAATACACACCCTCCACAAAATCTTTAAAAATCAACAATATGTCATGTAATTTATTTCTGTAATGCAGAGTTCATATTCCAACCAAAGCTGAATTCTTGTTACTTTGATTTCAGTATGCAGTAGTATACTTCTAATCTTATTTTAGTCATGTAAAATAAAACATATCTATCTCAAAAATTAAAATAATAAAAAATACTAAAAATTGAAACAGAAAAAAAAACCCTTCAAAGTTGGTACTGACATTACATAAATAAAATATTACAAGACTGATTATGTATTTTTTCTAGTACTAAAAAAACTTTACTGTTTGTATCATGTAAGTGTTCCTGGAAAGATATTAAAGATAGAGAATACTATGTCTGAGAATGTCTTATCTCTAGTTACTACAGGTAGTTAACTTACAACTATTCATTTAGTGACTGAAGTTATAATTGCATTCAAAAATCCCAAAAAACATGAACCTATTTTTTGGTTCATGAATTATATAAATTGTGTAAATGTGATTGGGGATAAAGTAAATCACATCACATTTATGATCAATGACTTAAGGTTATAAAATTATGCAGAAGTACTTTAATAATATCTTTAAATCCAAATTAAAAGTTTTCACATTAATGCCATGAAAAAGTAATTATTGATACAAAATAGCAACCCTTCCATGGAATATTCAAAGACTTTTGCAGGTAAAAAGATGCAGTGTAATCATAAATTGATTTCATAATAGGCTGCAGGAGACAGAATGATATCCAATTTAATCCTTGCCATAAGGCATAACTCTTCATTAATCAGTGTCTAGAATGTGTTTTATGCAAAACTTGTCTCCTATGACTAGACAGGAAGATTCCCATGGCAGAGGGAGAATCCCACCAATGCAATGAAGATACTGGGAGGAAAAAAGCTGAACCCAATTTATTATTTCTGTACAAAATGTGTTATCTAAATTACATTGCTCAATAAAGACAGGTTTGATATATTGTAAGGCACCCTAACAGTAACTCAAGCCAAATCTTACCCAACAACTGGGTATATAGAACATATTTAGCTTTATTAAATGTAAATACGTAAAATTTTGGACTAGATACCAAACGAATTCAGACACTCATGATTTACAAGAACAAATTTCTTCTTAATTTCTGAAATGTAACACTGACAAAATAAGGGTAAAACACTCCCACTAAAGTGTACAATAAGTAAAAGCAAATTTACACATTTCTGAGAAACTCACCTAGAATGTGAAGATAATTCACTGAGGTCCCCCATGCTGCCATCACCTATATGACTGCTAGAAATGGCTGAAGCATAACTGTGGACAGCATACACTTTCATGTCATCATCTGCTCCTGGCGTTTCGGATGATTCAGCCCATTGATCTGTCCGTCCATGAAGCCCTGACCGACTTCCAGAAATGTGCAATGGAGCCAACATTGGAGCTGGCATACAAGGAGCAGTATCAATTCCACTGTCAGTAGAAGCTCCCTTAATATACGTTAATCCAAGCAAGTCAGAGTCCATTAGATCTTCAGAGCCAAAGTGCTTATCATCACTGTTGCTTGATGTGTTGCTGGATAGAGTATTACTGCTGGAATGGCTGGAACAGTTTTTGTCTCCAATCTTAAAGAAAAATATAGTTTTATTTCCATTATCTGCAGTTTAATCAATGAAATGAGAAACACATTACTAGTTAGAAATGTCAAATAAATTTGAAGCAACCCCATATACCACATTTGCCTTATTAGTATTTCAATTAACACATGTTCAAAAACGATCTACAAGATCCTATAAAATAGTATACATGTGTATACAATAGCTATGTAATAGTATACATGTGTATACAATAGCTATGTAATAGTATACATGTGAT